CATCTCTGTGAAGGTAAAATTATTCCACAGTCAAAAGCTCATTTTTCAAAGAAATATTCTACAGAAAAGGGGGGAGTACAAATGAACCAGATGGGCAAAATCCAACAGTAAAAAAGCAAACAATCTACTTAGAAAAATAGACAAAAAAAATTTCACCCAAGAGGCCACACAAGTGGAAAATAGGGGCATGAAAAGTTGCTTGACTTCATCCGCCCTCAGGGAAAGGCACATCAAAAGCACGAGGCGGGGCACCTGGGTGGCTCAGTTGGTTAAGCGACTGCCTTCGGCTTGGGTCATGATCGAGTTCCGCATCAGGCTCCCTGCTCAGCAGGGAGTCTGCTTCTCCCTCTGACCCTCCCCCCTCTCATGTGCTCTCTCTCTCTCTCTCTCTCATTCTCGCTCTCTCAAATGAATAAATAAATAAATAAAATATTTAAAAAAAAAAAAAAGCACAAGGCAATACCACTAGGCTTCTACCAGCAGGGCTCCAATAAAAAATAGCAACAGTAGCAAATGCTCATGGGGCAGCCACTCTGGGAGACAGTTTGGCAGTTTCCTTTCGAAAACAATGAACGCCTATGAAGACGTAGCAGGAGGATCTGTGTGACAAAGGAACAGCTACATTTTGACCGCATTTCAGAAATGCACACGAGTGCACACACGCGTGCAGATGACCCCACTGTCGTCTGCTGGATGTGCAAGATGCTGATGCTCGGGGCAACTGCCTGTGAATCAGATTATTTCAAAAGAGTAAATTCCAAAAAATACTCCAGGAAACAAAGGAGGCGATAGATGAGAAATACCAGCAAATTGGTGATAACTGTTGACACGGGCTCATCAGTCTCCAGGGGCTCCAGGGCTAAAGTAACGATTCTCTCTACCTTTGTTTAAGGTTGACAGTTTCCATGATAAACAGTTTTCTTAAGAGTCCCTGCTAAACAAATGTCTGTTGAATGAATAAATGAAGGATTAATGAATAACCCCAGTCTAAACCTGGGGTTCTACAGATAATGGAAGCAAGACTTAGGGAGGGAGAGGCTCGCTCAAGGCCACACCGAATAGCAGAGGCCACGCCAGGCCGCAAAGCCAGGGCTCCTGATCTCCAGTCTGTCTAGCTCTTTTTGAAATATATTTTTTTAAACTTTACACAAGCAGTACAGAAACACAGGCTCATTGTTAAAAAAAAAAAAAAAAAAAAAAGGAAAGGGAAGGAAAATTGACCATAAAGTAAGGGCCCCAACATGGGGTGAGGGGAAACAGAGTTCCAACATGGCGGGGGCAGGGCCTGAGGGCTCCCGCATGGGGGAGCTTTCTGCGGGACATGGCAAAGGGAGATGCCAGGGACGGGGGCACAGGCAGTTGGACGGCCTGCCGCCAGTCCGAGGGCTCTGCCACAAGAGATTTTCTCTAAGAAGAAATTACTAGAATGTCTGGTGTGTTTGAATGTCTTGAGAGAACATTTACACACCAGGACGAGTCTAGGGTTGAATTAGTGATAAGTGCACGGGAAGCTAAGCAAACAGCTAGCCAAAGGACAATTATTAACTCCTGGGAAAACAAAATGCTGTGCAGAGAAGAAAAGTAACCATGGCTTGCATGGCTTCACTGTGAATGGCATTTATGTAGCTGCATAATTTTCAAGGATGGGGAGCGAGAGGGGGCGGGGAGAGCAGAGCCCGGGTCTCCCAGAGGAAGCACTGGAGCCCACTGTACCGGAAGGGCGTCCGGGCTGGGCAACCTCAGGCGCAGAGGTCTGGTAGCGGGATGGAAGGAAGCCCACAAGATGGTTCTCAGGATGTGGCTGGTCCCTGTTCCAAAATGCTCCCGGGCCCCGAGGATCATCCCTTTGCTCTGCACACTGCTCCCCTGACTCCTGCCACATCCCCTGTGCCTCCTCTCATGCTGAGGAAACAGAACTCCCTGCCCCATCTGTGCTGCTTGCCCCTCGCTTCGTCCTGTCTCTCCCGATGGCCTGTCCTTGCTCCCATCTGTGGCCAGCCCCTCCTCGGGGGCACCAGCCCCTTTCCACGAGCCCACCCCAATGCCCACCCTTCTTGCAGACACCAGCCTGTGCACTTGCCAAGCCACGGACACCCCGAGGCTACCCCAAGGAGAGCACTCCCATCTGGCCGCGTGCTGGCCAACGGGTCAGTGACACGGAGGAGGACACTCAGCTCCCTGGGGCCAGAGCGGGAAACGGCTACAGAGCCTGTGGCTTTGGTGGCCGGTGGGGTGCCTGGGGATGGTGGGGTGAGTGGGGGCCCCCAGGAGCTATGTCCACAGCCAAGACCCTGTGAATGTGACCTTATGAAGACAAACGGCCTTTGCAAATGTGATGAAATTAAGGATCTGGAAATGAGCTCCTCCAGGATTACCAGGGAGGGCCTTAAATCCAATGACCAGTGGCCTTAGAAGAGACAGAAGAGAACTAGAACGAAAGTCGTGTGAAGACAGAGGCAGGGATTGGGGTGGCGTCTACAAACCCAAGGACACCCGGAACCCCCAGAAACTGGAAGAGGTGGGAAGGAGCTTCCCTTCGAGCCTCCAGAGGCCCTCCAATACTCTGATTTCAGTCTTCTGGCCCCCAGAACTGTGAAAGAAGACATTTCTGCTGTTTTAAGCCCCCCGCCCCAGTCAGGGTGATCTATTAGGGCAGCCCCAGGACATTCCTACAGTGACAGAAAGAGGGATGTGAGAAAAAGATCTGTTCCTGACCCTGGGAGACAAGGGCCGTCAGCCTCCGCTCAGTAAGTGGCCCAGGTGCAGCCCCCCAGTCCCCCCTCACTCACCGTGAGGGCCGGGCCGTGGGGAAGGAGGCACAGGGGCCCAGGGGGCTCCCCTCCAGCCACCACCTTCTTGCTCACACACCTCCTCCCACTTGACTGCCACCCACCCCTCCTCTGACACAGCTCTGGCCAAGGCAGCCAGTGCCCTCCATGTTGCCAAACCAAGTGGTCCTCATGGCTTCAGTCCTCGAGGTGCCTGACCTTGTCCCTGACCCTCCTCCCTGCAGGCCTGACAGCCCACATATCGGTCCATCTGTCTGAGGCCTCAGCTCTGATCTCTGGCCTGCACTGGGGGTGGGGATAGCAGAGGGGAGCCAGGACAGCATGACAGCTTTATTCTCTGAGAAGTCCTTGGGTTCACATGTAGACACGGGCAGGAAGAGCACACAGAATGTTCGTTCATGGGGACGCCTGGGTGGCTCAGTGGGTTAAGCGTCTGCCTTCGGCTCAGGTCAAGATCCCAGGGTCCTGGGATCGAGTCCCGCATCGGGCTCCCTGCTCCGCGGGGAGTCTGCTCCTCCCTCTACCTCTGCCCTCCTCTGCCCCCCACTTAAGCCTGCTCTCTCTCTCTCAAATAAATAAATAAAGTTTAAAAAAAAAAAAAAAAAGAATGTTCATTCATTCCGACGCACAAGGAGGAGAGGGCCACAAGGCTTCCCATGCAGGAGCCTCGCGCTGCAGAGGGGTGCTGGCTCACCTGAGCCCCACCCCCTCCCCTCAGGGGCAGGCAAGCCTAGAAGAAGAAGCCACGCTCACCACAAAGCCAGGTGCCCAGAGCTTCTGGCCCCAGAATGGCCTCACGGCTGCACGGGCACTGCCACCTAGGGCTTCCAAAGAGCAGGGGATCAGAGAGGCAGGGCCCTGCCACAGCCATGCTGGCCCCAAGGGGCTCTGGGACAGTGCCTTGGCCCAGGTGCACCCTGGGCTTTGGGCAACTTGCCCTACAATCTGAGCAAGCGTCCGGCTCCCCTGCTCGAATGTCACTTGGTTTGGATCACTTTGCTATCAGCCCGCTGTGGATGCTTCACTATTTGGGCGCATGAATGGCTGAATGGATGAAGAGGCCCAATGCTCCCTGCAAGAGCAGGGGGCAGGGGATGGTCTGGGTAGCCCCCCCGCAAAGGGCCACTGCCATCCAAGCATGGTTGCTGTGCCCTCTCCCTCTTTGGGGGGGGGGGTGGCCTGGGGATCAGGGACATGGCTGACAGTGTCCCGGGGACAAGGGGTGTCCTGCTCAAAGCCCCACTGCCTAGAGCCTGGGAGGGCCCTGGAGACACATTACTGAAGTCCAGCTCCAGCTCCTTGCTGCCCGTGGATCGGATTCTCTGCCCCATGGTCAGGTCTCTGGGACCCCCTCTCAGGGCACCGGCCTCCGAGCTACTGCCTACCAGGCCTGGAGGCCACAGGCAAAGGGGCCCGGCCCGGAAGGCATCCTGTCCCTAAGGGAGGCAGAGGAGCGAGGGTGTCTGGGGGACACGTGAGGAGGAGCTGGGAAGGATGCGTGGGGGGCTGGCAGGGGTGAGGGTTTGCTTTGCTCCCCAGCCCCTGGCACCCCCAGCTGCCCCTCTCCCCATCTGGCTGGCCTGGCCATCCCTGCCTCCCTTCTCTCCTTGTCTGAGCTTGGCCCCAGATGGGTGGGCAAGGTGGCTGAGGCGCAGAGGGAGGGCAGGTCAGCAGCAACGCACCCACTCTGCAGCAGCGAAGGGGCCCAGGGAAGAAGTTCAGGGGGAAGCCAAGCGGCCAATGGCGAGTGAGCCCCTCGGGAAGGAGGGGTCCGCGCCAGCAGTGTGCTGACTTTGCCGGGAGCAGGGGCCCAGGCAGTGCCTTCAGGCAGTGGGCACCTCCCCCAGAGCCACAGTGGGTATCATGTGGGCAGAAGGAGAGCGGGCTTTCTCCTGAAAGTCCATGGACACATCAATCGGCACCAAGAACCATTGGCACAGGGCTATCTTTCTCCATCTCTCCTCCCATCTGTCCCCCGCTTATTGGAGCCAGGGGGCCTGGAACCTTCTCTGAAAGAGGCGGCCTTACCCACTGCAGGCAGGGATGGTGCCCTGATTGAGAACCGCGGCCCACGTCTCTGCCAGCTAGCTCAGGCAGCTGGCCCACTCAAGCAGGGGGCCCACAGCAGTGCCCTAAGCCGGCCTCGCGCTGCTGCACGGGGATGCCCAGGAGCTCTGAGTTCACAGATCAGCCCCTGGTCCCCTGCGGGACCAGGTCGGAAGCCAGTGTGGGTGGGAGGTGTCTGCAAGGGCCACAGGTGGAAGGCAGGGTCCTGGAGTGGGGGCAGGCTCAGACAGCAACAGCCTTGGGCATTTGCCCACGCAGGGAGGCAGAGTCAAGGGGAAGCAAGGTTGCAACCAGAAGAGAGGGAATGTGCGTCAACTTGGTGCAAAGGTCAGGTATGACTGGAGCTGTAGCAGAAAGGGCAGGGGCCAGGAGCCTCAAGGGGCGGGCAGGAAGGAAGCTGGGTGTGCTGACCCTGGGGCCTTCTCCCCCACCGCCTGCAATTCCCTGTGCCTAGCCCAGGCTCACAGCAAGCCCCAGACCCGCGGGCCCCACGGCCCACCTACCATCTCACAGGAATGCTCTGGGAAGCCCTGATGTCCTCCAGCCTGCAAGGGAGGGGTCCCTCACACACATCCACCACCCCAGGCACTCTCGCCAAGCGTCTGAGCCATCCCATGATGCCTATAGCACTCCTCCGCCCGCTCCATGTCTAATTCAGCTCCGGCTGCAATTGCTTCCTCCACTTCCCTCCTCACCCTCCCTCAGGCGCACACACAGGCCTCCTGCCTGGAGGCTGGACAATGGCCCCAGCACCCCAGAGCCCTGCTCCCTGGAGCACAAATGTAATCTGCTTGGGGGTTTCTGGAAAGCTCTGGCCCTTTCCCTCTAGCAATACCCTGAAGGGCTGAGTGAAGGTGGGAAGACACACATATACAAACACATGCACACACCTGCTTTTGCCTTGCACATCTGGGTGAAAATCATTTGATCCCCGTGGCTGGCAGGCAAGGAGGCTGGGCCCTGCAGCCCTGAGACTCTCTGCACCATCAGATCTTGGAAGAGAACCACTCCATGGGACCTGCCGAATGATCCCCAGCCTGCTGGCCCAGGAAGGTGGCTGGTCCCAGAAGTGAGCTTCTCAGGGGAGGACTAAGCTGGCAGACACTGGGCACTTAGGGCCTCCCTCCCCCAGCGGGCCTAGCCCACCCCACCGCTCGGGGACCAGGGCTCTTGGGCCCTGCCCTACCTTGCCCACCTTCCCCTCACCCGCCGCTTTGAAGGTACAGAGAGCCAGAGGCTGGCAGAAGAGGGGGCGAATTCAGCCAGCTAAGAGGGGCCCTTGTCAGGAGTGACAGGCAATGCGAAGGGGCACCTCCTTGATGTGTCTTGAACAAAGGCGGCAGCTTCTGGCGGCTCCCTTCCCCCAGCCCCCTCCTCTGACACAGCAGCCCCAGGGCCTTGTCTGTCTGGCTCTGCTACACCTCCAACCTCATTTTACTCTCAATAACACACGTGCATTCATGCCCCAGGGCAAGAGTGTTCAGGTCCCCCAACAGGTTAAGCATTTCCATGCCTCCATGCCTCCATGCCCTTGGCCTTGCCGGTCCCTCTGCTCCCCCTGGTGAACTCCTGCTTCAAGACCCCACTGTGGGGCCTGCCATCTGCAGCACTTCCCCCCCACCCCATCCTGCCCGATCCGGATTTTGCGGATCACTTGTTGAAAGCCGTCTACTTCCTCCTGGGTCCTCTGGCGACCATCTCAGAAACTCTCCCCAGACCTAGAATATTGCTGGAAGGAATCAGGTCAGTTCAGGCACACGTTAGGCGCCTCCTCCCTACAGATAAAGTCTTAGTTAGCATAACTATCAATTACTACTCTGGGATGCATATTTAGGAAAAGCTATCATTGAGAGCAAGGTTTAAAGAAATGCCATAAATGAAGAATAGACTAAGGACCTTGTTTTAACGTCAACTCGGACCCACTAGTTGCTTATGTGTTTGCAAACACCTCTTGCTGGAACTTCAAGCTTCCTTATCAAAACCCCCATCCCCACCCGTGCTTTTATGTTGAAATTCCAAGCAGATGGGAATGTTCACCAGTGTCTTCCCCTCTTTTCCACGGAGAGGGGCAGAGGGAAGTTAGTGCAGGCTGCCCTTCCTGTTCCTTACTCTGGTTCTAGTAGAGCCAGAGGCAGCAAAGCGACCTCCTCTGAATTGAGTTTTCTTTCCCTCCAAGACCTTCTGCTGCTGCTGCTCCCCTACAACATGAAAACTACAAGTGATCCCAAAAAATTCACTTGCATAAAAAATCAAATCAAAACATTCATTTCAAGAACAACAAAAACTTCTCATGGTAAAGGGTCATTCCACCAAAAAGACATGGCACCCCTAAATGGGCAGTAAAAATTGGTAGGGCTGGAAGGAGAAATAGACACATCCACGATTATAGTTAGAGACTTCAACAATTAACAGAACAACCAAAGAGAATATCAGGAAGGCTCTAGAAGGACTCGACTACACCGGCAACAAACAGGATCTAATGGGCAGTCACCAACCACTCGACTCAACACCATCTTGTACAAGCAGCCACGGGCCACACACCAACATGGCAAACTTCACTAAATTGCAAAGAACTGGAATCATGCAGAGTGTGTTCTCCAAGCACAACAGACTCAAACTAGAAATCAGTAACAGAAAGCTAACAGAAAAATCTCCAGACTCTCGGAAGCTAAACAACACACTTTTAAATGATCCAGGGGACAAGGAGGAAATCCGAAGAAAAAATTTTGAAGATACTGAAATGAATGAAAATAAAACTACAACATGGCAAAATTTGTGATATGTAGCTAAAGCAATACTGAGGAGGGACATTTATAGCAAAAAAAGATTGACTGTTTCTCTCCCAAAAAAGAGATCAATTTATCAGAGGTAGGACAAGGCATAGAGTAAGGGTGGACAGTTTGCCTTGACTCAATCAACCAAAAATATCTGTCAGGCCCAAGGCTTCCGAAATTCTGAAATACACCCTTTAGGGGCGCCTGAGTGGCGCAGTCGGTTAAGTGTCCGACTCTTGATTTCAGCTCAGCTCGTGACCTCACGGTCGTGGGATCAAGCCCCGCATTGGGCTCCACACTCAGCGGTGGGTCGGCTGTAGATTCTCTCTCCCTCTCCCTCCCCGCCAAATACATTCTGAACATAAATAAATCTTAGCAATATACACTTTATCCCCACCCCACCCTGAAATACACATCTTAAAGTAAAATTAGAATATGGCTATATCAGGAAGTTGGGAGACTTTAGACACCTTACGTTTCACTGAATCTAGATTAAAATCAGAAGAGTTGCCTTGAGCCCTGCCTGGGTCTACCTCAAACTGACTGAAATACTCTAAGCAACTCACTCAGCTCGAGTGTGCTGAATCTTAGTTTCTTCATCTGTAAAATGCTAGGACCATCTACCTCATAGGGATATTTTAGCTTTAAATGACACAAGAGTGGAGAAAGCATTTTGAAAACAGAAAAGCTCTGTACTAGTTTGCTAGAGCTGCCGTAACAAGGTACCACAGACTGGGGGGCTTAGAACAACAGACATTAACTGCCTCCCAGTTCTGGGCTGTGCTCCTTCTGAAGGCGCTAGGGAAGGCTCTGGTCCAGGTGTCGCCCCTAGCTGCTGGTGGCACACTGGTGATCTTTGGTGTCCTTGGTTTGTACAGTTCTGCTTCCCTCCAGCTTCCCACAGTGTTCTCCTGTGTGTCTGTGTCCCATTGTCCCCAGCCATTCTAGATTACAGGCCCACCCCACTGTGGTATGAGCACAATTTTATTACATCTGCAACAACTCTATTTGCAAATAAGGTCACATTCACAGGTACAGGGGTTTAGGAATGGACCATATGAATTTAGGAATGGAGGGACACAATTCAACCCATAAGAAGCCCTATATTAATGTTATATTAGAACATTTTAGTCTTTTGGATTTTTGTCCATTTTGTTGGCTACAGCTTATATGGTCCAATTAAATCGTAAGAAGTATATATATATATATATACACACACTAATATATCTGAGCATGTGCGTATATACACTGATATATACATACACTAATATATATGAGTATGTGCGTATATACACTAATATATACACATGCTCATATATATGAGCATGTGCGTATATACACTAATATATACACACACTAATATATATGAGCATGTGCATAGGCACACACTGATATATACACACGCTAATATATACACACACTAATATATATGAGCATGTGTGTATATACACTGATACATACACATGCTAATATATATGAGCATGTGCGTATATACACTAATATATACATACACTAATATATGTGAGCATGTGCGTATACACACACTGATATATACATACACTAATATATATATACACATGCATATATACACTA